GGGGGGGGGACACACCTTAGTTCTCAGTCTGGGAGGATCTCCTCGTCCTTCCTCCTCTGCTCACCTGCTGGGACGGTTTACCTTCTGTACAGAGTTGCATTGAGCCTGCACGGACGCTGACTCCTCCCAGCGCTGATTAGAAGACGGCTTGTTGCTGGTGGACACATCATCCGCCATTGCTCATTGCTCCGTCCGGAGGACATCTTGTGTACAGGTCTCAGGTCGTCTGAAACACGAACTCACGATGACAGACTATTGAAAACCCGGATTGTCCAGGTGAATCCCGGACAGGTGACAACCCTAAATAATCCGTGTTTTCTATTTATCTCTATGAGAGCTCATTGTAGCAATGTGCTCTAGAATATGCATGTTGATGTGTGTTGCTGCAACGCATGGCAGCATACTGGCTCTATATGCAGAGTATTGCAATGCCATTCATTGGGAATAGAGCCCGATGCAAAATGTACCGCAGCACACCACATACCGATCAAAGAGGTAGATGTAAACCTAATCACTAGTATCGGTATCGGTGCCGATACCGAGTATTTGGGTGAGTACTCGTACTCGCCCAAATGCTCCGATACCTAGCACGAGTACTTCCTGTATCAGGAAGCCGGGCAGCACATCATTACACGCTGCCCGGTTTCCTGATTGGCCAGGAAACGGCTCCATGCTCTCTCCTCACTTGTGATGATAGAGCATGGAGCCGACTTCCCAGCCAATCAGGAAGCCGGGTAGCGTGCAATGACACGCTGCCCGGCTTCACGATTGGTCAGGAAGCTAGCAAATCCGGAAGCCGGGCGCCGTGTAATGACGCAGTGCCCGGCATTCTGATAGGCCGGGAAGCCGGCGTCATGCTCCCTCGTCATCTCATGAATCATAATATTAAGAAAGTGACCTTAAAGCATTAGTTTGTATTGCTTTAGAAAAGATGTGACCTGTCCCTTTAAGAAAAAGTATCGGTAATTGGTATCTGCGAGTACTTGATCAAAAGTATCGGTACTCGGTCTTAAAAAAGTGCTATCGGTGCATCCCTACTAATCACCAAAATCTCACAGAAGCTTTAACTTATTAATGTCATTTTAATCATTTAAATTTGCAGATTTTATTATAATAATTCCTGGTGATCCCGCCATGGAGGTCCTTGTTCAGTCACTTCCTGTTATAGGGTGACAACACTCCGTCCCTTCTCCCAACTGTGCTTCTGCATTGTCACCCTGTCACACAGCTGCCGATGGAGACTACAAGTGGCCATTCCAGCACACATTACACAGACACGGCACACTGTTGTCACCATCCGAAAATCCCGGCCTGAGAAATGCCGCGCCGCCATCGCCGGAGTGCATGTAGACAGGAAGTGACTGCAGGAAATCAGCGGCACTGAGATGGAACAACGAATGAATAAGTGAAAATAAGAATTTCATTAAAAAGCAATAACAACTGTTCCTGATACAAAATAAAACGAATTCTCATCCTCTGTACTACATCTGCATTAAGGCTGGACTCACATTGTGCCGTGTTCATGCAGCATGCGTGTAATGCACATGTGTAGGTGTGAACGGGCCAATATTGTTCACCTTTCCCTTCATACTAAACAGCTTCACAGAGATGTGACCCGTCCACACAGGAAATCGGGAGAATTCTACTTATACGGATGAA